GAGGTTCCTGCCCGTGCGCAGACGGACGCCGGACCCGCACTGCCCGCGACGCGGCTCCATGTGAACACGGAAGGCGCGCCCGGCTCGACGCGGCGTCTCCATCCCGCCGCCCTCCGCCTGCCCTGCGACTCGGGGCGGGCAGGGGGAGCGCGGCCGGCGCTGCTGGCCCCCGATCTGCCCCGGAGAGAAAGGGCTTTCCAGGCTGATCATGATGAAGACAGAAGGGAAAGGGGAAAGGACTTTGAGAAGCGCCTCGCCACACAGAAATGCCTATAAATCGGATTTTCACGCCATCAAATGCTCCTTCGATGGGGTGAACAGCTCCGACGGTGCTTCCAGCAAAACCAGCCTCCCGCAAAAGTTGAACGCCTCGTCCAATGGAGGGGGAAGCGACCCGCACAGTCGAGGTAGAGCTGCTACCTATGGCAACCGAGTACACAAGATCAAAAACATGTTCATGCAGATGGGGGGCTCCTCTTCCACACCGGCATGTGAGAGCAGCCCGCTTGTTGAAGCCAAGGTCATCAGCAGGACAGCACCAGCAGATCTTGGGCCTTCCCCAAGCAGCCCATCTTTCCTCAGCGTCCAAAAAAATAACCTCTTTAATATGAGCAGCAGCCCCTGTTCCAGCCCCCCAGACTCGCAGCCTGTGCCTTCCGCCAGCGACAAAATTGTCCGCAGCAATGAGGAGGGAGATCTGGACAAAATTGCCCTGGCAGAAAAGTTTTCTGAGACTAGGAAACTTTTTGAGAGGAATATAAAGCAGCGGAGTTCAATGGACAGATATACTCCCAGCAAATGTGAACGAGGTGAAGATAAGAAGAGATGTGGTTCAGCCTCTCCTGATTGTAGCAGTGCGGTGGATCACTTTAATTTCAATACAGATGTGAGCCTTCATGTTGCCCCAGAAAGAGTTGAAAATCAAAGCAGTGATGAACAAAGGCAGCAGCATCCTAGTAGTGGACAGAGATTCTCCTCCCTGAATGCGGGGCCCATTTCTAGGAGGCTGGAAAGTTTCCTGGGTGATAGTGATACTGAAGAACCCAAAGAAATTTCCAAAAGTCAGAGTAGTCCAAGTGAAGATCATGTGTTTTCCTGCGATAGGGAATCACCTGCTGCCACTGAAGGATCTGCAGAGGAGAGTCCATCCTCCAAAGTGTCTGTATGTCTTTTAGGCCATAGCAGGAGTGAGCTGAGCAAAGCACATGTAGAAGTGGGTAACAGGGAGCAGCAGGATGGGAGCATCACATCTGATAAGGAAGCTAAGTGGGGGTCAGCTAATGCCTCCTCACAGGCACCCTGGGTAGAGAGAAATCAGGGTGAACTAGTCCTGGAAGAAATCTCGGGGAATGAAAATGTGTTCCAAAAGGACCAGTCATTCCAATTTCAGTCTGTGGAAGGGAAAGGAAATGAGTATATGTTTAGAGGAATTGAGAAGTTTGAAGATGACAGTGAGGTCAGTCAGAAAGAGTTAAAAGAGGGAGTGCCTCTGAAGGAGGTTGCAGTCACACAGGGTCAGGACAGTCTGGAACAAGAGGGGGACACTGAAGAGGAGGAGGAGGAGCAGGTGGTGGAAAATCAGAAAGAAAAGTTCAGTGCATTTTCTACCACTGCTTTTGGAATAGAGAATGCTGGTTTTGATGATGACAGGGATGCAGAGTCAGAAAACCAGGGCTCTGAAGGTAAAGAAACTTTAGATGTAGAAGAGGAGTATATCTATGACAACGAATATGAGGAGCTTCCTGGACTTTCTGAAGATGAATATCCTGAGCCAGACAGAAAAGTCAAGTTCTCAACAGCTCCTATCAAGGTAAAGTGTTTTGAAGGTATTCTGCTTTCTTTCTAAATGTATCAACCTTGCAGGAAATCTGTGCGTGTAAAATATTATTGTAATAGATTTGCTTAATAGAATATTGTAACAGAATTGCTTAATTTTAAAATAAGAAAACTATTGGTATCAGAAATATTAAACTGATTTTTGAAAATTCTGTACTTTATAAAAGGCAACTTTTGTTCAATATAAGGAAACAAATTAAGCTTTCCTTAATTATATAAAGGAAAGGTCCACTTCTGTGCCAGAATGTAAATAGTTGATTACTATTTTAGAGCAATAATTAGAAAGGTTCTAAATTCTCTTCAGTCTTTTTCTTCTTCCACTTACGTATTTGTATAAAATGTTGGTAGGAGGAAGGAGTTTCTTTATTCTGCCATGTTAATACATATAAGATCTTAGGAAAGTATGTATGATAAAAAACACAGAAGTTAAAAAGGTTTGCATCCAACCTCAGACCTGTTTTCATAATTAATGATTAGAAAAATTATTTTCCTTAAAATACCAAAGGACATCATCCTAATTTAGATACTGGGATTCTGTTTTAATAATAACTTTTGTGAAGTTCTTTTGTATCACACTGGTCTATATTCTGTAGAAATGATAGCATGATTTTATACAAGTAATGGGCTGTATTTCTACAACTCTGCAGAAGATGGGGTCCTTATAAATTTGTGCGGATTGTAAACTCAAAATTCTTTAGGATTTTGAATCTCCATCCCCCTCAAACAACATTCTATATTTGAGATCACCCAGAAAACCTGAGATAAGTCCCATGAGCGGTGACAGTTTTTTTTTTAAATACACATTTTTCTGTGATATTAGATAATATTTAGGAAAGGAGCTTTTTCAACTGTGTCAGTCTCAATTCTTTAACCTTGCTCATGCTGAACTTTTGTTTTCTTGATTTGAGGGATGTAATAACAGCTCATTGTCTTTCACAATTCCTACAGAGGTTAAACTAAAAAGAAGAATTTGGTGTGGTAGATAAATAGGATACAACTCTCTCTTAACCAAGTTGGAAAACTTTGTTCACAAACCATTCTGCAGCCATGAACGCTTGCAGAGCTTTCCTGCAGACCACAGCACTGGTGTGCAGAGAATACTGGCCATGTTTGTTAGGTAACAGTGGTTCTTAATCAGGACTCCAGTTTGTCAAGAATTGCACTAAGGATGCAATGGTGTTTAACAACATAGAATAATAGAGATGGAAAGGATCTCAGGAGGTCTTGTATGTCCAGTCCTCTGGACCAGGCAGAAATATCCCTGTCTGAACTATGCCAGCTACATATTTGTCTAACCCAGTGATAATCAGGGTGCTGCAGCACAGTAGGTGTGCAAACACCTAGATATGATTTATGTGATAAACCCTGAGATTTTGAATTAGGAATCCACAAAAATATTCTGACCTGTTGTGGTCTTTGAGTTCTTTGCAAAAGAGAAATTGTACTTTTTCCATGATCAAGAAAACCATGAAAGCTAGGAGCTGGCATTTTCTGAGAGGTGCTTGGGTCTAAAAAGGTTGTGAACCACTAGTCTAACCTACAGTTAAAAACTTGTAATGATGGAGGTTGCACGTCCCAAGATTTAGATCTCTGAGCTATAGAGAACCTTATTGAGTGATGAACTGCTATCAGTGATCTCGTTTCATGTAATTTTTTAATTTGTCCTGTACACTTGATGGCTTTAATATGGCATGCATGTAGGTCACCTGGGTATACTAATGAGCTACAACAGGTGAACAGGTGTGAAGTGCTGAAAATTGGCCACTGATTTTGACTGGGGACACGTCACCATAGGAAATTACAGATTGGAGAAAGTTATTTAGCACATACTAAAGGTCTGTTCAGGGAATTGATGCAAGCTGGCTAGTGCACTGTTAATCCATACCCTAGTTTATTGCATACTAACGTTCCTCTGATAGATTATAGGTTATCTTTCTGTGTGTTGTTCTGAATGCTGGTTTTCCAGTTTTCCCCTTTTCATCCATTTCGTTTTCTACCACCTTTCCAGTCTTTTTGTTTTGTGTTTGTACGTTGGGGTACCAGTTCATGACCAGGGTATCTTAAATACTAGGACAGGGGTAGGGGCTGGCAACCTATGGTCTTTAGACCCATTGGATCCAGCCTACAGTAATGGGGCTTCTGCTGCCTTCAGCAGTGGGGTACTTTGCATGTGCCATGATGGGGAGAAGCAGCAATGACCAGAGCTGTGTGGGTGGGGGGGAAACGTGGTGGGGAAGATGAGTCCCAGCACCCACTCTTCTCTAATCAGAGCTGGATTTTTCCAGCCTACAGTCTGAAAAGTTTGCTGAATGCTGCATTAGGGAAATACACTTTTTTTTTTTTTAAAGTTCTTTCATTTTTTCTTAATTTCTCCAGTAACTCAGCACTGCTTTGCAAACGTGTTTTCATATACAGGGCTTAGAGATTTTACCATGTGAAGAAAAAGGAAATCTGAGAGTGGTAACAAAATATTATTTTGATATCCCACCCATAACCAAGTTAGCACCACAGTAAGAAATTTGCCCTACTATCATATCCAGTGGGAAGAGGTTGCCGGTATTTTTATCAGCATGATGTTGTTAGATTCAGTGGGGGTGATATGCTGTGAAGGTCTTTCCAGAAACTGTGACTGCTAGAAGAGGTGTTCTGTTTCTTCCACTCTTCTCACTCCAGAGTCTCTTAGCTAGTGCAAAGCCAGGATTGGATGTCTACTTGCTTTTTTCTTTCTCTGCTATCTTGGGGAAGTAAGCCTATTGCTTTTCCATCCTTCCAGCTTTCTGGTTTCTGCAAATAAATTATTTCCTTACTACCCCTTACCACCTTAACTCACATGATTTGACACATGGATTTTGGACTGATACTGCATGCTGTCTGCCGAGCCAGTCTGGTGTGCAAGCTCAACCCAGCGGTCTGGGTTGTGAGTTGCATGCAGTGCCTGTGCTAGACTAGCCATGCTGGACTAGCCTTGTACAGTGGTTCTGGGGCTGGTCCAGATCAGGCTTTTCCTGGAGCCAGCATGCAAGACTGTCTGGGGTCGAGTGCCACACACAGCTGGTGCCCTGTGCTGCAAGCAGAATTTGGAGCACCAAGTCCAGCCCATGAGCCACATGTAGCATTGGCCCTGCCCCAGGGCTTGTGCTGCCTGCTGGCTGGATCTGGCGCTGCACGCATTGCTTGTGGCGTAACAGGCTGGCACAGGATATGTACTGCATGCAGCGCCCTGCTAGACTGCCCTACACACTGGTTCTAGTGTGCACAGATGGCTTGGGGCCTGATCCTAGCTAACTCTGGAGCCGGCGCTCAGGACTGGGCTGGTGAGGCACCATATACAGCTCATGCCCTGTGTCAGCCCCCTGGGCTACAGCCAGTGCTCATGGTGCCAAGTCTAGCCTGAGCACTGCCTGCAGCACAAGCCCCAGAATGGGGCCAGTGGGTGCTGCCTGCAGCACAGGAGGCTTTCATGGGGAGCAGGCTGCACATGGTGCCCCATGGACTGGCCCTGCTCAGTGGCTCTGATGTGGCCAGATCCAGCTTGCAGACCAGCTCAGAGATCCTCATCCAGCCTGCAGGGCCAGATGAATTTTACACCCCTGTTTTAAAGGAAGAAGCATGCTGTCTTTGCTTTCCCATGTTATGTCTGACTGGTTGCTATATGGATAACAGTTGGTTTCTGTTACTTGTATGGCTTCCTAGCATCTCTTGTTTTGGGGTGTCTGTCTCATGCATGCGCACGTGTGTGTGCATGTGCCTGGGGAATAGCTCCCACATAATCACCCCCAAAGTATTGAGAGTGATGCTCATGAGAATTTCTCATGCAACAGCTAAATGAAATTTACTTATATTAATACGACTTTTCACTGTTGCGATTCAGAACTCTGTGGTCATTTGCAAAATTTAGGAGATTCTGAGTGGCAGTAGAGCTGGACTCAAGCTATGTTTAACCCTATAGTTGAATAGTGTTAAAGCCCTGTACTACTCTGTGGCTATAGTGTAGTTTGGGAACATGATTTAGAACAGTTTGTTGGCAAGTAGATAAAACACCACCTATGGAAGTGTTGCTTTGTTTTGCCTCTTGATTCGTAGTTGGAGGGCTATTTTCACAGTGATGTTGGCTGAAAAATGTTTGTAAATCAGTGCTTAGATCCTGCAAATGCTGATGTCCTATATCTGAGAGAGATTTCTGCTTGCTTTAGATGAGTGATTCTCCCCCCGCTCCAAGCCCTACTGTTGCCTGATGTCTACAAAATTGACAGAGAGAGGGGTTAGGCTCCCTTCATTTGCCTCTTTCATTTACATCCCACAAAGTAGTATTGGGCAGTTACTCATCTCTTGTGAGGGTCATGTCAAATACCATAGGTTTGTTTCATCATCTTTGCTGTTCAGAGTATGTGTGAAGCTGTTAAGGAACACAGCAAGCTAATTTGAGGCATGATGGTCCTCTGCTCTACATTTTGTTTCATATTGCACCTGGATGGAATAATTTCTTTGTTTTTTTTCCTACTGTTTGACTTGGGGTATGCATAAGAACTAGTTGATTGAAACTTGATCTGAAAAAAAAGGGGGATCTGTTTCTGGTTATCATAAAACTTGATCTGAAAAAAAAGGGGGATCTGTTGCTGTTTATCATCCCACTGGTGTAGATTAAAGTAGCCTGTAAAGATGATACCTATGGGCTCCTATACATGTGCGGGGAGCCTGCTCTGACATGCTGGAAATCCAGCGTGTCAGAGCAGACTCAGTTAAGTCTGCTGGAGCACAGAAACTGACGCGCTCCAGTCTTCTACGTCATGTGTATCGGCATTTCCGTGTGCCTCTGTGCTGAAAAAAATGACGCAGGACACTTTGAAATAAAACATGTTGGATGAGCTTTAGTTCAGAGTGCCCTGCCACCATTTCTTCAGCACGGGGATGCCGATACAGGTGATATGCAGGCGCTTTTAATTAGCAAGGGTTGGCACTGTGCCCCAGTACACC